GTTTGGATGATGATCTAATTTCTTTCAAACATGGATAAGTATTTTATTGAGAAAAACATATCAGTTAACTTTTATTGGCCCTATTTTTTTTTTTATATAAATTTTGTTCTTTTTAAATTACAGTATTGAATACTTTTCTAAATATTTTAAGCTTCTTTTGTATTTCTCTTAGAGTAATGATCCTATAGGACCCTCCCCCACCCATGTGTGTAGGACCCCAAAGGATCACTATTAAAGTTGGCACGGATCTCTAGAAAAGTTATCACATGGGTGTGAGAATTGACTTTTCTATAGATCCGTGTCAAATTTAATGGTGATCCTTTGGGGTCCTACACACATGAGTGGGGGAGGGTCTTACAGGATCATTTCTCTTTCTCTTATTCCTATTTCTTCCCTAAATTAAATTTGGATAATAAATAAGTGAGACAGAGTTTTAAAGGGTTCGGCGAACTTATATTATTTTAGATAGGAACAGTAGGTATATCAGGATAGATGCTTATCTGAAGAAATTAAAACCTATCTAGAAGAGTTTACATAAAGAGACAATTTCGGAAAATTGGAGGGAAATGAGACGGGACTTGTGGCTTTTAGATTTTAAGAACTGCACCTGTCTGTTAGCACTGGTATCTCAGTCCAAGTTTTAGCTCAATCGGAACATGTAACAGATATTCAAGCTGGTTAGAGCATGTTTCTGTACTTATGAAAGTATTTATACATTTGATGGAAATTGATATAATAAATTGTGTATTTACACGCATTTTCTACTACTTTAAAATGCATTTATACAACTGGGGCTGTTACAGTTATGCGTATATAGCAGCCTAATTATAACTATGATGGGAATAGCGGTTAGAAAAGACCTGGAGATGCCATTTGCGTATTGTCCCTAATAATTCCTTTCATCAACTATTACTGTTATGGATTTTCTCTGCATCTTTGTTAGAAATTCCTGTGGGCAATGGCTAGGCTCCAATTATCATTTTTTTCTTTTTGACCAAGTGTTAACGAGATTCCAAGTATCATGTTATATTATGGTTGTGCATGTTCAACTTTTGTTTTATACGTGGAGGTTAAATAGGATTTAACTTTTATGTAAAGGTTGAGGCACTTGCTGAAATTGAGGTTGCGACAAAATTGTTAGAGGATGATCTCCAAGCACAGGTTTGTTTTCTATTTAGTGTTGTTTATTACAATACACATAGTGGTTTGCTGGCACATTACTATAACCTGACATTTTGTGTATACCCTCCTATTATTCTATGCTGATTTTCTTTCAATCATTCTCTCTCTGTTTCTAGGCCTGTTTAGTAGCACTTTCCATTATATTAATTATATTGTTAACCTTTAGATAGACCTCTACAAATGCCCTTATGTACAATTCTGTGCAGGATCCAGATGTTTCTTTGAATATTTGTGACTTTCAATGCCCATGTATTATCAAATTTCATGTACATGCAAACCTTTAGATAGACCTCTACAAATGTCCCTTTATATTTTTGGCGACTCTGCATACCAATTATGCAAACATGTTTGCCAATACATGGATGGCAACACATAACCAAAGATTGTTGCGTGACTAATTCCTTTGTGTTCACCTTCCACACCACACATACATAGTATCTTAAATAGGAAGTAGAGAGGTAAGGAGTTAACTAGGAAAAGCTTATGCACATTTGAAGGATGTTCGCAGCATTGATCTTGATTTATGTGATTCTAATCATACTATGGTACTAATAGTGCATGACTGTGGACATCTCTCATTTCCAGCTATCCTCGACTTAGTCTGTCCTCTACTCAACTATTTGAAATGGTAGGGTGCCTGAGAGGTAATCCAGCTCAGCATCGTTCACCAGTGCTTCCATAGTACAACAATCTCAGGTTTAATCCTTCCTGGTTCAAACTAGTTGAGCTACCAAAAATAGGGGGACTAGCCATCTGGGTATAGAAGACAAAAGTCATGTTGCATGCAAGCCCCTTCCTCACCTGAAGTATCCAAGGAATGTATTCCCAAAGAGGAACCAGGAAGCTTCTCTTCTCGTTAACTAATATGGGCCTGATTAGTTGAGAATAAGCTGAATTTACCTGTGACTTCCTTGAACATTCCTTAAAAAGTATGGTGATTTATTAAATAAAGCTGGAGATTGGAATACCCTATGAGTTATTTGACTCTGAAATGACAGCATGGTAAGAGAGGTTCTTGAATCCCTATTTACTGTGACTCTGCCCACCTTTAATGCTAATTGAGTTGAACAAGCACAGCTTTTAACTAGAAAAGAGGCAATGAGTCCAGCACGGCCTATGGCAGCATTTCTCCTCTTCAAATGCAGCCGTTGTAGGAATCGGGCTTGGGCTTGATTGTTTATCACTTGATGTCAAGCAACGCTACATCTCAAGTTCCATTCCTAGTACAGAACTACCCAAGAAAAAAGAGAGGAAAAGATCCAGCCACTGTTGATTTTTGGGGGAACTAATCAATTCAAAACATGCTTATGTGTTTTATTTGTTTTACACATTCAGAACTTATTTATTTCTTAGATGGTCATGTGCTGATTATAGGTTTGTTTATGTAAGGAACTCCAATATTTGATGATAGAATTGGTTTTTTTATTCATTTGAATTCCAAATCTATATTGTGCTTTTTAATTTTGTCCTTCATGTTTTTCTTATTGTAGGAAGATCCCCTTTACTCTCACTATGGACGGCTTCATTGTGAACTGGTACCACTTGAAGCTGATTCTCAAGAATTTTCCTTGGTAATCCATTCTGGACTGAAGCTTAAAATATATTAAATGCCATGATGTGACAAAGATTTTCTTTGTTTCCATTGATTTCTAAAAGAGGAGCATTCATCTAATGCCTGTATCTCTCTTTACCTTTCCATGTCGTTTGGTGGATTTGCTTCTTTTCAAAGTGCTAACAATGGATAGTATGCAAATGAATAGCCTATGGAACAATATTTTATTGTTTATTCTGATGGTGTCACACCAATTCTATGGGCACATTGTTTTAGATTTCTGCACCTTATATATTCATACTCTGTACTGTCCCATGTTCTTCGACATGCTACTTGAGGCATGCAGATTTCATGCTCAATGCATAAAATTACATGCCACAAGTTAGTGATACACTGATCCTATATTCCCACTAATTAATAAATGATTCAAACTGAATTATTTGGCGTACTGTGCTAATAATTTAGAACTGGTAAAATTTGACTAGCGTAAAGGTTGTTAACAATGACTTGTAGAAGAGCCTGGTTTAATGAAGGTGAAGTTCACCATTAATCGAGTTCCATTCCTTTGGGCTTTGTTTTTCACTGATTTACTTTGATGTTGCACAGTTGAAAATTGTTGATTGTCTTTTGATATTTCTGGGTTGATGCCCAGGTATTATTCTATATACTAAGAAGTATCTCGTACTATTGAATTTTTTCCATTTTTGTGCTACAGGCCCCCAAATATTTTATGGGAATTCTGCTGGTTATTATGTTATGTATCTCCATTTTGTGCAAATGGTCTCCTTTCAGCACACCAATGTGCATACCAAGTTCTCTTGTTTATATCTCTATGCATGTATGCATGTATTGAAACATGTTCTGTAGGTTAAAGTGCTGCTAGAGAGATGTGCATTGAAACAGTATCAGCTTAACACATCTTTACGTCCACATTGTTTGATTAGTACCCTCTTGTGTTTTGGTAGTTTCCTGTGTTTTAATTTTTCTTCTCCTTTTTCTTGTTTCCTTTTTTTGTTCTGATTAATATTAATGTTAGCCTTTGGTGGGGTCTTAATTGTCTCTTGTAATTTTCTCAGACATTTTTTTTTAAGGGTGTGGTATGTACAAGGTGGCAACCTTACTTGTAAAAGTAAAGTTATGACGTTGTACAATGCTATTTTAGTTGGATAGTGTAGATTTGACATGTCTTTAACACTATACCAAAAAGTAGCACGTCTTTTAAGACAATGTCAAATGAGTAGTGTAGATTACTACTCCCTTACTTCTTGCAACCTTATATAAACTTTTTCTTTATTTAAAAACCCAGACAAATTTATCAAATATCTAGATGAATGCCATCCTAATAATTGTGTAGTTTTTCACATGCTTTTGTAATTGTGTAGTTTTTCACATGCTTTTGTAATTGTGTAGTTTTTCACATGCTTTTTGTAATAAATATTCCATCATTTTAGATGGCAGATTATTTAACAATCTGTGATGGAATGTTGGTTCTTTCTTTTGTCAGATTGAGCAGTATATGCGGAATACTCATGCTGAAACACATTCCTATTATACTGTTGATATAGTACGCGTTTTTAAGGTTTCCAGAGAAACTGATAATGAACGATTCAGAAAGGTGAGGACTGATTTGTTGCTATTATTATGTCTCAATTTCTCTGAACAATCATGCCCAATTTGTCCCTCTGCCTTGTTATTTTTTTCTGCTTTGCTCAACAGATGTTGATTTTGTTTGATTTATAGTTGCAAGCTACAAGTTTATGGCTGATACAATTTTTTTGACTGGTTCCAGTTTTCTAGTACCAAAAATAAACTGCTCTTGTGGCATGGTTCTAGACTTTCAAACTGGACTGGAATTCTCTCTCAAGGTTATTCATTTCCTTAAATCTCTACTTTGTGACGAATCTTTTCAATTGGTCCGAATAGGTGTTTTGTACATATTATACCATTTCATACAACCTATCACATTGCCCTTTTCTTTTTCCTAATACGATTAAGAATAGTGGTTATATAATCTGACATACTAAAATAATGGTTATATTAAAGTGAGGTAAGTCTTAACTCTCTTATTTCATACCTTCTCTATTAAAATGAGTGAATTTGAAAATGCTGAATGCTTGGTATTCCATGTAACAGGACTACGAATTGCTCCTCCAGAAGCACCTGTTACGGGTTACATGTTTGGGAAAGGTGTTTATTTTGCTGACATGTTCTCCAAAAGTGCAAACTATTGTTACTCATCTCATTCATCTCGGGCTGGAGTGCTGCTTTTATGTGAGGTTGTTTACGGAATTCTTATGGCAGTTAAACTGGGTTAGATTTGTTTTAGTCTAGCTGGCTAGATTTGTTTTTGTCTAGGAATACCTTTACAGTTGCATAACCATTGAAATACATGCTTGATCACATTTAAACTCTGCTTTCCAGGTTGCTTTGGGTGACATGGCTGAGCTTCTAACAGCAAATTGTAATGCAGATCAATTGCCAGAAGGGAAGCTAAGGTCTCTCTTGTTCTTCATTGTTCGTATATGCATCTGATAGTTTTCTTCTACTATATGGATTTTTTTGTCACACACTCTCACAGACACACTTCTTGTGAGATATAGAAGCAAGGCTTTGCTTGAATGTAGATATTTGGTGTGCATATGCCTTACTAGCACAGACTATCTAATCAGATTAATCTCATGCATGTTGAACATTTCATCAGTGTTTCTTTCTCATGTAGGCATGATCGGAATGAACTACTGAGTCAAATGTCAGAACACTAGCTTTATATACACTCAAGAAATGTAACTTTTTACTATTTTAGCAATTCCCTAATATGCTTTAATGGAGCAGTCAGGGTAACTATTGACTTAGAATCACAAGATAACAACAAAAGGAACCTTTTTGCTAGAAGTGCATCTCATATGCTTCATGTAAATATATCAGATTGCAATGACACATCGGATGGCTGCTAGCTTCTGAAGTAATAAGATCGAGGATATTATGGTCACTATACAGATTCTGTGGTACATAACTGAGCAGCACGATCTTATTCTCATGTATATATTTTGACTGGTCTACAGCCTGTACGATGCAGTCTCACGAATCAAATTATGAATAATTTTACCTTTTACACTGATACAAAATAATTCAAATAATAAAAATTTTCAATTGCAAATTGAGAAAAATTGAGAATTTATTAACTTTATTTATTAGGACTCTACTATTGAAGGATAAACTCCTGTTACTTTTCATATCCTATATTTTACATTGGTAATTTTTCTAGAAAATATTTCAAAACCAGAGAGTAGAAGAATTCATAATTTGAAAAAGAAAATCATACTAATCTTTTCCAAAATTAAACTTAGAGAACTTTAATTTAATATTATATTTGTAGTGAAACTATATTCATTAGGACTCTATAAAGAAAGATTGCTGCTCTTTCCCTTGTTTTAAATTGGCAAAACTTTTAAAGAATTCGTAACCAAAAAACAAAAATTAAGAAAGTGTAATAGTTTTTATTTTTTACAACTTTAGAACAAGTTTTTTTTTTTGGAAAAAAACTCATTGATCCTATATATGTCTGGAGATTTATTAGGAATGATATTCGTACTTTGAGAGAGCATATTGGCCATCTTGATGCCGTCTAAATTCGGATTGTCAAATAGCAATAAACCTATTTGTATTGGGATTCTCTTTCAAAGAGGAGTAGATATGGCAGTTTCTTTTTCCAATGGTTATGATCTAGTCGATTAAAACAGAACTCTATGGTTGCATAATTACGAGGAACTTCAGAAGAAATTTAGTACATGTGGTTCAGATGTATACAATGGAACCCCACCACATATATAAAAATCAAATATCAGGGAAGATCCAAGCAAAACTAGGATGCCAGTTTTAGCGTGTCAAGAACTTGCAAGCTCTCTGAATGTCCATTAAATTTGCAATCACTTCACTAAAAATCTTTCTGAACTTCCCTGCATTTTGTTGAAAGATTAAACAGATGGGGCCTTTTCTTTTTTCTTATCACCCATTTTTTGGGCAATTTCAGCACCAAAGGAGTCGGAGCAACCACCCCCGATCCTTCAGGTTTCTGTGTGCTTGAGGATGGTGTCATCGTGCCCCTGGGAAAACCAAAGAAGCAGCCTGGCCCTCAGGTATTGCTAGTCATTATTATTAACAATATTTTGATTGCATGTTCCTTATGTAAGTTGTATTTTATTTTGTGATATCATTCTCCTTCCATTTCCAGGGAAGCCTGTTATACAATGAGTACATTGTCTATAACGTGGATCAGATTAGGATGAGATATGTTCTTCAAGTTAATTTCAATTTCAAGCATTGATGGCATTGTATAAGGTATAGCTCATGGGTAATTTTGATGTTGTTATCCATGCTATAACTGTTGCCTATATTTATCATATGGAACGCTCAGAAAGAGTCAGGATTCCTGGAAAGGCCTGATGGTTTTTGTTCAGAGTGACGGCAATGTAGCATTCAAATTGCTTGTACCTGTAAATATAGGAGAGAGAGAGATGGTCTCACCACTTGTTTGATGCTCAACAGGGATAACTTAAATTATTTCTAGGGGATAAATTTGTTTTGGGACAATAACATTAACCAATGGAGTTCATCACATAATAAGCTAAAGATATTATATGCTTATGTGGGAGCATATCGATCATTCACTACTTCAGGTGAAACCACCCTCCAAAAAAAAATGGAAATGATAAGACCACATACGTAAAAAAATAAAACTTTCTAAAAGGGAATAAAAACTTCTACAATTTTTGGATTGTCAGATTTAAGTGTTTAGAAATTCAAGATTCAAAAAGTTTCTTCTAAAAAATACTCATCTAGGATCTTAAAATTTATTATCGAAGAAATCTTCTTAAGCAACTCTTTTACTTGAGAAATAATGAAAGTGTAGACTTTATTTGGACAACTTTATTAGACAAGGCCCCATGTCACTTGCCAATTTGAAGAAACACTTCCCCCAATAAACTTTGGAGCAGCCTACCGATCAACGTCAATCTCCAAAATTAGGAAACATCTGTGCAGTCTATGATTTAGAATAGTTGATATTTTAATTATATTTTGATAAATGCGTAAAATAAATATTTGATATTTTGAGGTATTTTGATAAATTTCTTTTTTTTTCCCTATAGAAAAGCTTTTGATATTTATAAAACTCACCCCACCACCAAATTGATCAATGGAAGCTTTAATTTGGATTAAAATGTTGTTTTTTGAGAGTTTGTTGCAACAAACCCTATGTTCTTGGGCCACATCTGCCTTCTACTAGATTTCTCATTAATTACGTATCCAAATCTCTAGAAATCAAGTCTATTGGGAAGGTCTTTGGATCCTCTTATGGGTTTGTTGTTTTGATTTGTTTGATTATAGCAAAAAAAAATGATAGATCTGGCTTGAAAGCCAATGAACTGTTGAATACCATACTGTTTTTGAGCCATGCCCGCTTTCTTATAGATTTCTCATCCTTTACTCGTCTAAACATCTTGAGACTAGGTTAATTATGAAGCTTTTTTAATCTTCGATGTATTCCTTGTCTTGGTCTGTTCTATTATATAAAAAAAAATTTGATTGATCTGGCTTGAAACTCTATGTTATATTGAAGAAGAAAGTTTTCTTAAACCATGTCTGCGTTATAGATTTGGTATCGTTTACTCATCCAAATTTATTGAAATCAGGCTTTTAAGCTCTTTGAATCTATATATATTCCTTATATTGATTTCTTTGATTATGCCAAAACAGTTGATAGATCTGGCTCGAAAATCTCAGGTCTATGCATGAACACAGTTTTCTTGAGCGCGATTTGTATTATGCACGAATTTCCATTTTCTTCTAACGCAAATTTCATGAAATTAGATTCATTTTCAAGCTTAATTAATCTTTCCTTGTAAGCCTAAATTTTCAAAAACTTTCCAAATTTATTTGCTTCAAGTACTTTTTTTTATCTTGGACATGCCTTATGCGAGTCCACTCGGATTCGCCTGAGTTACTCACCTCTGCCAAAGGCCTGAGTACAGTGGCTGAGGCAAGTTTGGGTTGACCATTCTATTTACTTTTTCCCAAGAACAAAATTGGGACAAATTAGAGATGCATTAGAACTTAAGAATAAGGGAAATATACGTAAATATTACGTTCATGTCCCCTTCATTAAGAGCATATTTAGTATTTTGCATCTATAAAAATAAAAAAAATAAAATTACCAGAGCATCATGCAAAAATTTTGGGAGCATTTTTTATATTTTGGTAATTTTATTTATTTAAAATAATATTATTATATCTTTTATTGGTACATTGTGGTTTTAAGAGCACATTTGATATTTCGATTTTGTTTTCTTTATTTATTTTTTTCCTCTAAAATGGATTGAGCTCAAATTTTGTGTTCATATTTTTCACCATTGTGTTTTTGTAAAAAAAATATAAAAAACAAAAAAATCACCAAAACATCGTAGCAAAAATTTAGAGCTATTTTGGTCATTTTATTCATTTAAAATATTTTTTTATATTTTTTTTACAGGTACATTATGATAGGAAGTATAGATGACCATGATTTGAGCTCAATTCAATATATGGAAAAAAAAAATTAAAATACTAGATATATTCTTTTAAAAATAGGACAAAAATATCACCATCATCATCAGTTAAAGCATTTTCCCAACTAATTGAGTTGGCTACATGAATCCGGATATGTTGTTATGCTCTATCAAGGTTATACCCTAAATCATAAGTCCCCATATCTTTTCACACTATTTTCAACTATGTTTTTTTAGGTCTATCTTTTGTGTTCCACTTGTATTGAGTTTGCCTTCTAATAGGTGTTGGATCGGACATGCGTTAGTTTCCATTGTTTTATTAAATAAATAAATTTATTTAATTTTTCATAATTATTATTTTTAGTTTTTAAAATTTATTTAATTTTTCATATTCATGATCTCCATGTTAGAGATTACATGTCCTTAAAAAATTATGTCTTAAAATCCATCTCAAAAATAGATTTATTAAGAGGTTCGCATTTCTACATATACGGATTTGGCCGCTTAGAAACCAGGTCCTTACCTGAAAATTGCATCATTGATCCATATAGCATTCAACGGGAAACCCAACTCTTTTATAGGGCAAGGAATCTGTCCGACCCAACAGGAATAGCTCAATTTTGTCGTTGGCTTGGCGATCTATGGGCCGCAATGAAATCGAAGTTCTAGGCAAGAGAACCAGGCAATTCTCATTTTAGATAATATTTTTTTTTTTTTCTTTTTTTTAAAGGTGGTTATCACAAGAGAATCTCAAATCCCAATATTTTATACTATTCATGTTTTTTAAAATAGAAAATATCTCCATATCCCACATTTTTAAGTTTCATTTATTGATAAATTCAAAGTTTCAAAAAATATCTTCTAACCCTTGCAACTTTAAACCTATTTCTTAACCTAAACAAATGTGAGAAAGATATACACTTTTTAAACTCAATCCTCTCCCTCTTCACTTACATATTTAAATATCCTCTCATCTCTATGAAGCCTTTATCTCACTCTAGAAGTTTGGAAATGGGTTTTAAAAAAAGCATATCTTTTAATATTTATTTGACCTAAAAAAACAGGTTTAAATTAACTCATGAGCTTAAAAGAAATAAAATCCACAAATTTTAAGCCCCAAGATATCTTTTTAAACTTTGAGTCTACTGTAAAATGAAACTTAAAAATAAAAAGTATGAAGATATTTTTCATTTAAAAATTAAAATTTTCTAGATCCAGATTAGACATGACTAAGATTCTTCTTTTGGACAAATATTTTTATACATACTTTTCTTGTTAATCCGCATCATATTGTATTCTTCTAATCTTTTGAGTATTTTTATCCATCCACATCATATTGTATTCTTCTAATTTTTTGAGTATTTTTATCCATCCACATCATATTGTATTCTTCTAATTTTTTGGGTATTTTTATCCCATGATAACCATCAATCCTAGTAGGAAATGACCGATCCCGTGGATAGCCCGACCCAATAAGCAATGCTGGGTCTAAAGACCCTGAATTAAAGAGTTGCATACTCAAAAAAAAGGCGTGAGGGAGGGGAAGAACGTTGCAGTTGGTATATGACAAGTGGAAACAAGTAGGAAGGCCATCGATTGCTTTGACATCCAAAAGTCACCTTACATTTGTGTTAAAACTAAATTACTTCAAAATCGTTTACTCATTTTGGCAAACTGCTGTGTCCGAATGCAACTCCCACCTGCCAATATATGCTGATGACTTTTCAGTCAGGTCAAATATTGTGGACTTCTACAACATAATCAAATATGTGAATTGATGTTCTTAATACAAGATTCCATTGATGAATTAACTCCAACGCGTCAAGGTTCTCCCATTGGATAAAACCTTTCCTTTCCTTGAGATACTCCAAAACCACCAAGTTTAATGTTATTTTTTGGTCAATGATAACTGACAAGAGTAAATTGTTTGCTGAAAAACTATCACAGATAGTTATAGCCCAAAAAAAAAAGAGTCAAGAAACTAAAACCCATCTCAGCTTGTAAGGAAAACACAAAATGAGTATGCAAAACTGTTCTCTCTTAAATAACAAGGGGAAGAAATTATTTACTTAACTCTTGGAATGAATGTCCCCAATCAGAACTCCTTCATCTGATGAATAGGATGAATGTAAAGGGTATCTTGAAAGGATATCGGTCCAAGTGCTATCCCCATCTGTAACGTCCTTCACAACTGATGCCACTTCGTCCACGCTAACACGAACCTGATCCTTAGAGTCTCTCTCTCGGACTGTAACAGAGTTCGAAGAGTCCACAGTGATAGCAAATGGAACCCCCAGTTCATCAGTTCTAGCATAGCGCTTCCCAATAGAGGTTCCAGTTATGTCAATCTTATGAGATATGCGAGCACGTGTCAAGGCCTTGGAGATAAGTTTAGCAACTTCTTCATATTCTGATTTTTGAATCAATGGGAAAACAGTGCACTTAATGGGAGCCACCAGGGGAGGGAATCTAAACACATTGCACTGTTCATCTCCAGCTTTGCTTGGTCTAGTGTAGAAGGAATGCTCAAAAAGGCAGTATATGATACGACCTATACCAAATGATGGTTCAATCACAGAAGGAATGAAAACCTTTTGATGTTCCTTCTTTTTCTCTTTAGAGATAGAGACCATGTTCTTTGTTAGGGTGACAGATTGCCCAAGGGTGCAGACAAAGAATTCCACCTCCCCTTTGGCTTCTAAGTTGGCCCTCACTTCCATAGCCTTTGCTTCTTTCATGGCCTGCCCCACAACCGGGAAAAGAATAAACAAATATAGGGCCAAAAAAGACCAACACTGAAAGGATTTAATTAAATATAAAGACATTTAAAAAAAAAAAACGCACAGAAGATTCAGATGAAGCTCACCTCGAGTGCTTCAATCACTTTCTTTTGATTGCCCTTGAAAACCAGCCCAACCTCCTTCTTTGATGGGGTGATAACCAATTTCTGCAATGGTGTATGCAATAAATTGGCGGTATAGATTCTATGCTTGCATGTTCATGTATAAATCCTCAAATATTAACACTCCTTTACGAATTATCAGTCACTCATAATTATGCAACCCAAGAAAAGTCCCTCATGTTTCTTGAGAACCATAATAACTAGAAGTTCGTTCCATTTGATAAAGTTAACGTTTTATTTATTTAAGTAGCACATGTCGGGACTAGTGCTACCTTGACACTCTGCTCATGTCCAACACTAAGATGTATTGGATAAGGTCAGAGCTCCAATTTGCACACGCTGTGCTATGGAAAAAGTATGGTCATGTCTCCCTCAATGACCTCACCTGAACATCACCCCCATATGGAATTTTTGGTGCAACATCCCACCGCCAAACAACCCAAAAAAATATAAGTTTTGGAGCATTTGGAACTTTCATTTTAGAAAACAGCATAAATGCATAGCAGCCCTGTTTAATACACATGGAGTTTTCCTTTGGAAAATAGCAACAATGTAAAGCTTTGATTTGTAAATGAGTATTTACTTCAGCTTTTTTTTTTTTCTCCTTCTAGGCCTTCCATTTCAATTTGCATCTTAAAATTCTTCCTGAGCTCTCATGCAAGGCAAGTTCCAGTAACTTGTGTGCTTGTGTTTGTGAATGTGTGCTCGTAATTTTTTTTGAGAGAGAAGAAATCCTAAATACATGTACTTACCTCTACTTCTCTAGGTTCTGCAAATTTCTCTTGAGCAACTAGCTGGACACCACTTTTCTCCTGGAAGCCAAAAAAAAAAATACAAAATGGTTCATCAATGTTCATCATCATTATATTACTCGAGCAAGATGAATCTAGAAAAATGTTAGCTTGTTAAGAGAGAAAAAAGAAAAAGACAAATCAGTGCAATGACGATGATGAATAAGTTCACCCATGAAAACAGAAAAATACTGTGTCGAGCTTCTTACTGTGTGAGCACGGAGGTCATATGCAGAGCGATCTGCAATACCAACACACTCAATCCAGCCATAAGAGGACTCAATTTCAGCATCCCAACAATCTGCAGCATAGTGAGCCATTTCATTGGCCATATGCTGCCTAAAGCGCAATCGTTCTTTGTCAATCCCAAGAGATGTCAGGAAAAGGTATGTCCTCCCAATGAAATAACCCAATGTCTCATTGTTGATGTTTCCCTAGTGAACCAAGTGAAATTCCTGTTTATCGATCAAACCAAGTAATTGGAACATTCACCAGAAAAATTGGTTTGTGATTCATTTCTGAAAATATTAGTCACAAAACAATAGTAGAACCAAATGGCTATTGGAAATAAATACTTGGAAAAGTAGCTAATATCTCAGAAGACTGCCATGGGCAAAACTCACAAAACGGCTAGTCATTTGCAAAAGTAACATGAGAGAGAGAGAGAGAGAGAGAGAGAGAGAGAGAGAGAGAGAAGAAATTAATTTCTTCTAAACCACACATTTGCTACTTTGGACGCCTCCCCCGTCCTTTAAAATAAAATCATTAGAGGTACAAGATAGCCAAGGAATGAACCTTTTTAACTGCATCACCAAGCTGGAGCTTCTTAAATGGTTTTGCCTCCTTTTGCTCATCTCTTGGGTACATGAAGAATTCCAGATTAGATACATCCTTAAATTTTGGATGAGATTTATCATCAGGGTCCACAAAATGCTCAATCTCCGCTAGGGTGAACTCCCGAACCCTTAGGAGACCTTGTCGAGGAGATATCTGAAAGGCAAAAACCAAGTAAGCCTCAAGATACAGGAAATAATAGAAACTTACGAGAGACCAGGAGAGGCCACCATCTTAGGTATCTAAACTGCATTTATACATTTTCCAAAAACAAGGAAAAACAAGCCCTTATAACTTCGAATAGTAAACAGTGTGCGTCAAAATATTATCTAAAATCAAGGTATGGGAAAGTACAAAACCGCCAAACTTATATCCATAGTTAAGTTCAGAGTCCAGTCCTCCTTAGTTCATTTATTATGTTTGCATTTCATTTTTTGGTATATTTTTCTCATTGGATAACATTACTAGCATTCATCAGAAAATAACCCCGACAAGCAATACCTCATTTCTGAAAGCCTGACCAATTTGAGCTGCGGCAAAAGGAAGCTTGTTACCATTATAATAGTACAGGTCCTTGAAATTGACAAATATACCTTGGGCAGTCTCGGGGCGCATGTACCTGCAGAGCATAGATAACCCATCTTATTAACAAGCTCCAAGGACCAGAGATGCAAAATGATGTACCGCAGTTGTTTTTTTTTTTTTTGAGAATTAAATTGTGTACCACAGTTTTTTTTTTTAATCTGGAAAATGGTGTACCACAATTTTCTTTAGGGAACATAAAAAGAATAGAAGGCGCCTAGAACACTAGAATAAATCATGGTGGTGCTTAGGAAGTTTGGAATTTCAAAAGTGATAGGACTATTATATTTTAAAGTGACTATTTCACACCAGTCTATTTGACTCATTTTTAATAAAATACCCCCATATCTTTAAATACCAGATTGGGGTCAAATAGTTATTGAAAAATACTTGTCCAGGCTTCTTTTTGAGATACCAAGCTTCTGGGGATCACATGCAATATTTATGCAAGTATTCCAGGCGCATTTTCAAACTTCCAAACTCTTTGCTCCTCTTTTTGAAATTCACAAGGGAAGGAAAAAAAAAATAGTATGAGCGATTGAAATTCTTACCCAGGACTCAAGCCAGAAGGGCCTATAGAGGTCGCGAACATCAAATTAAAAGGGTATGGATCTGAGAGAGGATTCTTTGTATCTGGCGCAACTATACCATACTCCTTGAGTTTTGAACCCAATTCCTTGCCAGAGAGGTCATCCAAAGTTGCCATAACACGCTTATATTCCATGGCCTTTTCCTCAGGTAGAGTGAGGTCCTTCTCAAGCTTATCCTTGCAAAAGTCCTTGAGCAAGTGATCTGCTCTGTAACATGTACCTGTTTTCTCATCCTTTACCATAAGATCTGTAAATTTGTCGACATGACCTGAAGCTTTTAACACAACTTCAGGAGTCACACAAGGACAGTCCACTTCCAACATGTTTTCCTCTAGGACAAAGTGCTGTAAAGGGACGTGGGCAAATCAGTAACAACATATTTACTGAACATTAGTAAAAGTCCCATTATGATTCCTTTTTTGACATGTGAATGACTTCAGTGATTTTAATATGATGCACTTTATTTGAGACCGAAGGTTCCTTCATAAGTTTATCTAACGAGAAACAGGTTTAGTATAGCATCTTAATCCTGAAGGTTAAGACATGGTCATGCTGATTGCTTGAAGATTCCACATTCAAACTCTTCCCATCTTCAAGCAATTGCACTTGCATGTCTCATGTCTGTCAAGATTTATACCATGCCATTCCACAGATGAACTTTTGCAAGATAAAGCTCATAATAATCTGATGGTACACACACGACTGTAGTAAACAAAGATAAGCATTTCAAATAATCACGAGTACCACAACATTCATCCTCCAACTTTAGCTTTAAAAATATGATGAAGATAGGAACAGCAAGGCATACCCAACAAAGGAAAGAGATAACAGGAAAATGCAGACACCAAAGCCAATTAAAATCAATATCACTTTCTATAGCAGATCAAACATTAAACATTCAGGACTGCAGAAAGAGTATTATATGCCCCAAGAGGAATGAAAAATACAATCAAGTGAAGCATCAATCAAATTTGATGACACCGTCAAAACTTGCCATTTTGTTGATTGAAGAATCTGGCAACAAGAAGAGCAACAACCCAATCATAAATGAGATAAAGCAATGCATTTAAACCAGTGACAAGGCCTCAGCCGAGTAACTCGGCCTCAGCAACCTGCCGAGGCAAGTTTATGTGCCCAACTCGCCCTCCTCAAGATCCCTTAAAAAGCCACTAATTTTGTTTTAGAAAAAAACACTAATATATGATTTACAAATATGTTTCTATATGTTTTTAGGTTTTTTGTGATGATTTGTGAACTTTTCTTATTATATGCTTTTATTTTTTTTTATTTTTTCTTTTTCTAACATATTTCGATGTATGATTTCAGTAATCTGTCTTTTATATAACTTTTTCATCTTTTATAGACTTTTACTTATTCTAGTACTTATTTTAGTTTTCTTATTTTACTTATTTTTCTTTGGGCCTATTCGGGTATTGTGCAGGTCTTGGCGAGTCCACTTGGGCTCGGTTAAAGTAACTTGGCTCTGGCCAAGGCCAAGTCCAAGGCCCGAGCTGAGTTTCAGAACATTGAATTAAACAAAGGATTATGCACAACAAAGGAAATAAAAGGTATCATGACACCTCAGTGTACATTGCCACTACAGCAGTTCCAAAGCTCTATATGAATAATATGAGAAAACTAGTGCATGCAGGCAAGGACTTCTTCAGAAAATTAAGAAGTGTTCGGTGTTCACACTAGGGCTAATATAAAAAGCAATAGACTAGCTACAATAGTTTACCAAGGCATTATTTTGGTTTTTGCTTTTCATTCTTTAGGTATCCAATTCTGCCAATTTATACATTATTTTTTAATTTTTGATCAATCTCAATATAGGTAGTATCTTCTTTACTTTGTAAATCAAAATTGATAGTTGTATTTTATTTTTCAATTTTTCCTGACAGCCAACAATTGATCATGTAGGATACATGCACGTGGTTGTAGAGTTTGGATACCTCAATCTGATTCTTGAATTCAATGTTGGAATTTCATCTAGAAGCATTATGCCGTTATACTTTAAGAATTGAAATATTTTTTCAAGAAAAATCTAACAAATGGGGCCAAAGCTGGCCCATTTATTTTGCAAGCTCACAAATCGAGTCTAAATCCAGTTAATTGGAGAGCTAAAAACTTGAAGACGGTTTTGATAAAAATATTTAAGGAATTTCATAAATTGCAGTTGTACTAGAAGTGAAACACTCGACGCTAACTCAGAGTTGAGCAGGTTCTTCCCTTTTGAATTTCTCATTTTCCGTTCACATTTCATTACAATTTCCACTTCATATTAATTGAAAAGGATATCAACAGAAAAATAAAGAAATGCGAATTTACGAAAAACCAAGATAGAAGACATAAGAAACAAGAAGTTAAAAAAAAACTGACGGAAGATCTCGGCTTTATAAAAACCAAGATAGAGGATATAAAAAACAAGAAGTCAAAAAAAAAAATGAAGAAAGATCTCGGCTTTATAATCATGCTCTCCAATTATACCAGTTCCAGCAACTAAACCAACAAAAAAAAAAAGTATTTAAAAACCAAAACTCATAAGCCAGGTAAGTGACCTGAAGTAAATAAAAGACGCATAAAATGGCAAAAAAATGCAGATATAACCCCAAATTCCACAAAAATCCAAGCTTCCGCAACTCAGGAGATTATTGACAACAATACATCATCAAAATCATACAACAAATCAAAATAAAATAAAAAAAGAAAAAAACTTGTAATAATTTAATAAGCAAACCCCACAATAACACCAGAACAAAACAATGGAACACAATTTAGAAAGAAAAAAAAGATCACAAGTGTAAATCACACAGAAATAAAAAACGACATCAATAAAGGTAGGATCGAAGTAAAAAGTAACGAAACAAACCTCACGCCAAAAAGCTAGAACATTAGACTTGACTGCACAACCAGGTGGCCCATAATCATACAACCCCGCAACACCCCTATAAATCTTGAAAGATGGAATATAAAACAGCCTTCTCTCTAGAGCATTCACCACACCCTGCCTAAAATCGTCCCTATTACCACCTCCATTCTCCGAAACCCTAGAATTGAGTTCCTTAGAGAGCGCTTCGACCTCCACTTTCAGGGCCTTAAGCGAGTTCACAGCTGATTCCACCTCTGACGGGCTTGCACCGCTAGCCTTCAAGGCACGAACGGCTTGGCCCTGAGCTTCTGCTGAGGCTCGCTTCTGGGCTAAAGTTCCTTTCAAGGAATCGATGGAGGTCTCAGCCATGGCGATTCTGCTAGGGTTTGTGGAGGTGGAAAAGTAGGGTTTTGTGGTGAAGTTGCAGGCGTGGGCGATAGAGAAGTGTGTGGAGGGGTTTGGGGCAAAAAGTCGGGAAGCCGTCTGGAAGAGAGAGATAGAGAAACGAAAGGGAAAATTCATAAAACCTAGAGAGAGAAAGAGGAGAGAGAGGGAGGGGTTTTGATTTCCTGAAAGGACGCAAATATCCCGAGAGAGAGGAGTGAAATAACTAACGCAAAGGGGGGAATGACGAAATTTCTGTCAATAAGATACCGGGGGCGCCCAATACGTTCGTTCAGTTGAACCAACCGAACCGAAAAGAGTTTTCTCAGTGGGGCTTGACCCGTTGCCCCCGGATCCAACTAGGACTCGGGTTAGGCCCAAGTGATGTGGACCCCGATCAAGGTCGGTTTAAGTCAGTCTAAAAATTAAATAAAAAATAAAAAATTTGTATTGTATAGTGTATATTTTGTACCGGCTCAGGTCAACCTCATGAGGTTCTTGCAACCTACCTAGGATCAAACTTGGACTTCGATCAATCACATGGATCTGACCAGATTGCCACCCTTAGTTCTGAAGTTGGAAAACTTTCTAATGGATTATCTCGACTTCGAGATGTATAGAATTTTAAGTCTTATAAATAATGCATCTTGTAAAATTTATATGGATTGTTTATTTTTAAGATTTATAAATATTTATAGATCTATTCGATTTGCACTATTTTTAAAATTTTAAAGATCATGAATTATAGTTGAACATCGATTTTTAAGCATCATAAGATCTTTTTTGTACAAAAAGTAAAAAATTAGGCACATACCTTGTATATCATAAGTTGAGCACTTTATACCGATGTTTGACTACTAGGCAAGCCAACATGTATATCATAAGTTGAGCACTTTATACCAATGTTTGACTACTAGGCAAGCCAACAGGGACTCGGGCTCACCACATTGGCAAACACGAGTTTGGTGGTCATATTAAAAATAAAATTTTAAAAAAATTATAAAAATCTAAAAAACTAAGAGATTTATTTGTCATATATTTTCCATCATTTTGATTGAGATTTGAAAGTATTTCGAATATTTATTTTTATATTTTTCCCTTTTTTTTGGGTATTTATAAAATATTGGTGGTCACAAATTAATTTTTCAAAATTCATTTTTGAACTGTCATTTAGATATATTTTGTTTCGTTTTATTTTAAATATATTTTTATATTTTTTAAAATTTTATATTCTTGCCAAATAACTCCAAACACAACCTAAGTTACTGGGTTACTTAGGCTGGATCCGTAGCCGAGTTTCGTTCACGAGTAGTGGTTTCCTACAATGCTTTGTACAAAGCCCACTTTTTCTCATAAGGGAAAAGAGAGGAAATGCGACCCAAGGGAGAAAGACGTACGAAAGAGGATTAAATCGTCTTTGTAAAATTGGATTGGCTTTCAATAAAAACTCCTTGATCAGAAGAAAAGAAATTAAAACATGGTTATTTCAAAACTTTGGTTAGATTTGTTTTAATGTCAAAAAAAAAGGAATATGAAATGAATCTGAGTGGAGTGGTAGATGAGTAAAATGTATGCGTCTCAACCAACCACCCAATTTCCATTCCTACAAAACCCACCCATCCTTTTTCTCTCTCTCTCTCTCTCTCTCGCTCTGCATTTGTCCTAACCGCCCATTTTTTGTATTATCCAACTTGGAGTCTATTTCTCTAATTGTAACAGACACAGTTTGTTTGGTCGACAGAGCTTGCTATAACAGACAGAGCTTGCAAGGGCAAGGGCAAGGACCTGCCCGTTCCCTGCTTTGTAAAAACAATGCTCCAAATGATGCTTCCAATGCCTTCTTTCTCTCTTGGAGATTGAAACCATGTTCTTTGTTATGGTGACCGTCTTCCCAAGACTGCAGACTCGAGTACTCTCACCATAATTTCTTTAACACAAGTCTCAACTCTCCTCCCTAATTAGCCTTCAAAAAATATAGTGATATTTGCATGCACTCCCACTGCTCCCTCCCCAAATTCCAATTATTACATTCCCTCAAAGTAAACCAAAAATTACTGGTGAGAAATCTTCAAGGAAAAAACCATTTTTCAGAAAAGGACCCAATTTAAGGAAATACAATAGCCAGCTAGAAAGGCTAGATACACTCATGAGATGCCGAATGGACCAAATCCTTTCAATACTGAAGGCTAGGCTCGCAAAGGAACAACATCTGGATTTGACTACCGCGAGCGCGGTCGACTATGCGAGTGAAGAGATTTTTGCGAGCTAATAGCGACTGGACTTTGCCCCTCCCAGTGTTGGGCTGAACCAAGTTTACTCTGTTTGCACTTGTGCTTGAAGCCGAAAGGGCTTGTCCGAATCCCCAAAGCTAGAAGAAAGCCGATACTACAACCGCTACTTGTCCGATAGTACAGCGCCTTCTTAGCCTCTCTACCCTCATCACAAAGTGGACCTCCCCATGTATATGCCCCATTTGGAAACCTATCATTAATTGCCAACCAAGCAAAAGCCCTCACCCCTACTATGTGGATACGACCCCCAAATCTTTAAGAATTTAAGAAGCATCTAAAGATCCGATCCTACATTACTCCCAACAATCTTCACAATTGGGTGGCCGCAATTATTCCATTGACCGCGTTCAAATTTCAAAATTAATTTTTTCAAACTTTGTGACACATCCAAGCTATCAAACTTCACATCGAATAGTTGTAAGTAATTGTGACCACTTTGTATCAAAGGTAACTGGTCCCATTATATATAATCCCTTTTTTTTTTTTAACCAAAATTGATTATTCAAATATGCATAATTTTTTGATTTCCAACTTCTTGGATCTAAGGCGAAAATAGACTTATATGAAACGTGTTTTGGATCCTAAATCCTTCCAAAACTAGGATAGGTTCACCACTCACCAACCTTTTCAAAATCATAAATATGACATAATTTTTACATGGAGGTCACAAGCGTTCTCACTTATTAGATTTCAAATTGGATGGCTAAGAGTGAGTCATGAAGTCTGAGATTTCTTTTGAAACTTTATGTCTACTCAAAAACACTCTTACGATCACCCATTTTGAAATTTAAGGGACAATAATGATCATGATCTCCATCTACAAAAAATCAATGGTCTCTTTATTGATAATCCCTTTTTGTTTCCACCAAACTTTTAATTAACTTAAAAAAAAGGTCAATTATACACCATACTCCATCACTTTAATCCACAAATATATGCGCTCTATTACCCCTCTCTCTTTACCCAAAAGCCTCTCATGTTTTCTAACAAAGAGGACACTGTCTTTTTGGTCTATTAAAACCCTTAACAACTATTTAAGTGATTGCTCATAGCACTAGACAATGATGACCTTCAAAAAATTTTAAACTTTCTTGGAAAGTTATCAGAAAAGCTAAAAGCAACATCCAAAATTTTGGAGCACCCCCGTTATTGCGTTTTGGTTGTCAATCTTACGGACATCACCCATTGACACCTTCAAAAAAACTAACTCCCTGATCTATCTAAATAAATGAGTAAGGACATATCTTCTCCATTGAATTACCCCAAAATTAAAAAATTCCAAAGGAGCATATAGACCCTATCCCTTTCGGACAAAATGCAAAATGCACAGCATTTTACGTTACAACAGGCATGAGATTGTGTGCCACAAACGACTCAAAATTGCAGAACACTTTCATGCGTTGGATCAAAATCTATTATAGTAGTTCTCCCAAATGTACCTTATATTTTTCAGGCCCAAATAATATGATCCACACTTTACCGCCTGGTGTAGTTGTTGGATGGTGATAAGCAAGTGGCATTGAGTGTCTTAAAAGTGTAGGTTGATAGGGTATACACATGTTCATATTTTTTAATTCTATTTCTTCCTCGCTTATTGTTGTATTTTTGGAGCAATTTTAACCGATGAATATGCAGCTTTATATTCTCTGTCTGACGCTGAACTAATTAACTGAACAACGATGAGCCCTTTCGGATCACACGCCCTTATGGATCATAGGTCATGGTTATCATAATGTCCTTACCCATCATATTATGTTTTTACATATTTACAACTCAATATCGTTTCAAATGAGAGAAAAAAGCTAACAATATGGAGGCAGATATCCAGTTCCAAAAATGCTATGAAATTTTCAAAAAAAGAAGATAAGTTAGTGGGAAAGCTGTTGGACCGCAACCACTGTCAAACCTGAGTAGATAGATAGGATGCCTTGAGTCATAATCTCACAAGTTGGCTCTAAGCGTCAAATCAAGATCTGACGACTCATAGTGTTTTATTTTTAATTTTTATTCTATAAATCATTTTGCAACGAAATTTAGGACACGCATACATCTGATAGGGTTGCACATGATAAAAATAATAACAAAATATTTATGTAATAAAAATTACCGTAATACCCCTCAAACATTTGGGGGTATATTGGTCATTTATTTTCATGAGAAATATTTTTTTCATTTTTGCTAGGTGCACCCCCAATAAGACGATGGGAAGCCTAAAATTTCAGCCAAAAACGTTTAGTAGAAAGAAAAAAAAAATCAAGTAGTGCTTTGGCATGATATTACGACGAACAATCCTAACCATCAATTTAGATTGACCGGCTGAGAATGGGGTCAGATATAACTTATATGCGGTTGGGGTCACACAAAAAGCTTCATATAAGTTATATGCTTTTCCCTTTTCTTTAAATAAGGAAAATTGTTTCATGCTGGATTGGGTCGCATTTCTACAATATACGATCCAACGGTATAAAGCATCCATCTTAAAGGTGGATGCAAATAAATAGGTGGTCCATCTAAAAACAATTGTAACTAATGGTCCAAAAGTTTTCTTAATATAATCATTATTTTTAGTTTTCAAAAAAAAATTCCATATTCATGATCTCCATGTTAAAGATTATATATTCTCTAAAAATTAGGATCAAATTATTTTTAAAAAATATATTTATTGCATTTCTACAATGTGACCCCTAAATAAAATATATGCCACACAACTTTTCAGGAGTCTCTCTCCCCCAACAGTTCTACACAAATAAAGGAAACACATGGAGGCCTGGTAATTTTCATTTCAACTATTGCAAATGTTTGTATTACAAATATGTGATATTGCCATTACAATGAATGCTACCTCGACTGAGCCAAAGCTATTATAATTATATGAAGCCTGAAACTACAATGAATGCTCAATCAACAGAGCCAAAGTTATAATTATATGAAGCCTGAAACTTTGAGTGATGAGAGAGTAACAAAAATGAGCCAAAGCATCATGAAGTATATACTTGTAGCCCAGGCCAAGGGTTTGGGGCCTCCAAGTTCTGCCCCCAGGGTCAAGCGCCTCAAAACAAGAACAGCAATGCAACCAATAGAGGTGACGAAGAAAACAAGCAAGGAGAAGCTGAGGCCTTGCGCATTTTGTATGTAAAGGGGCTCGTTATAGGCAAAAAACGTTATATAGTGTGTCGATCAGCCAAGGGACACCAATTCCGATATAAATATTCACTGAATTGCTGCAAACATGAGAACAAGTTACAACAGAGAGAGAGAGAGAGAGATGTAGGAAAATTGATACAGAATAGTAAAATCAGCAATTTTTAGGCCAAGCACAAGTAACAAATAGAAGAAGCCAGGGTTTCTCTTCAAACCTAACTAGGGTTTCAAAAGTCTAGGTTTTCTCTTCTTACTTCAATTAAAAATCACGCAGATTGACTCTGGTAGGCCCCACACACCTCTTAAATAATAAATATTTAAAGTTCACTTATATTAAATGCCTATATAATAAATAAAATAACCTTAAAGTCCTAACTTAAGTGACTTTGTAAACAAATGACCCATGACAATAAATAAAATGCCTAAAATCCCTTAAAAAAAAATATAAACCCTAAAAATAAATCTTAAATTAAAATTAAAATATATATATTTAGAAACAAAAAAAAGAAGTCAAAATAAGAATAATTTTGTCATGCGTCAGTCTCCCTGGTTGGAAAAAACTCGTCATCAAGTTTTCAAGTATGCTAAGATGAATTCAACATCAAAACCACCTTCTTCAACCTCCTCCTTTATTGGCTCAAAGATTATTTGTGATAAGAAAAAATCCTCAAAAAAAGGATCCTGAAATGTATAGTGAGAAATCTATACAAATTTCTCAAATTTAGTTATCCCTAAACTCGCATTGAAAATTCTGTGGATAACTTCAAACTCAATTTTATAGCCTTTAGAATCTTTCTCAACATCTATTTCAGTACTATCTGAATCCAGTGCCATAAATTTGCGGTTTATGAGTTGACCACACTTCTATTGTACTACTCTGATTCAAGTGCCCTAAATCTCTTGAATGCTCCACCTCTACAATATACTTGAGATCTTCATCTTGAACCTTTTCATAGATTGGATCTTCTAAGAGATCTTGTTGTCCATCTAAAAATGTATCAATGATTAGTGGGGAATCCCAACTTGAAAATTTCGTCTCATACGGCTCAAGCGAAAACACCCCAATACTGGTTGCAACGAATATTGAGATTTGAAACTTTTTAGCTACTTGATTCAATCTTCCCTGAAGATATGAAAGAGCTAAAATCCAGAATCTCTTCTTTGTGATTTGTGATGTATAATGCCAAAATATGCAGATTTTATATATAACTTAATTAAAATAAAAATTCTCTGTGGTTGCAAAATGTCACTTCAGGCTCTTCTTTCTAGAAGGGCTCATCATAATTGGGTCTCCTCAAGTAATTGTATGTTGTCCTCTTGAAGAAACTCCTTAACAATGTCCACAAACTTTTTATTCAAGCATTGAGAGGAGACATGGCCGAGTCCTGAATACTTAAAGTACTTAATAATGTTGTTGTTTCGACAGTTCGGGTGACTAAAATTGTCCTCAACACCCAAGGTATCCTGTTGTTGGGACGAACTACCAGGCCGACAAGTCTGTCCACCCACTAAATTCCCACTTTTCCTTAAAAATTACTTCCACAGCCACTTGTACCACCTTGGGCTGCGCCAAAACTTAATGGACTCCTCTACTGAGCTACAACCTGAACTGCAAGGTTGTAAGCTTCATCTAAAGTCCAATAATGTTGTAGCACAACACATCTTGTATTCTCAGCACACCTACATAGTAAGATAGGTATGGTTCCTCTCTTTCAACCATATCCCTTCGAGCCATCAACTGATGAAATTTATCAGTGTACTCTTCCACACTCTTTTCTCCTTGATGAAGGTTATGCATCAATGATAAGAGATTGCAGATATTTTCAGGGAGGTAGTTTTCCTTTAGTATCTTTTTTATCTTCTCCTATGTATCAATTTTAGGCGTTCCCATTCTCTCCCCATTCTCTCCCTTCTAGCCCTAAGTCGCTCCCACCATGCTGAAGTACCTTTCTTCAATTTTATGGCAATAATATTAACTTTATCTTTTTTTCAAGAACCACCCTATAATCAAATACTCTTTCTACAATATTTAACCAGCCTATAAACACCTGGGATTGAGGCTTACCATCAAAGTCCAAAATATCAACCTCTATGTTGAAAACCCTAGAGTGGTGCCTCCCCTGTGTAGGCATTCCATCGCTATCATCACTCGACTCACACGCAGAGCATCATGGTGAAAAGGATTGTACTCAAGTTTTTCTTGGGTTGAAGTATCACCGTTTTTCCCATGATTGATGCTCGCCAACTGCTTCTCTACGCTGCTAAACTTGCCTTCTGAGGTCTTCAATCTCTTCAATTCTGGGATCATGAAGTGAGTCTACGAAAACCCCCTTTCTACTGCCCTTTCCCATAGCTATGGGTTCATCAAAATCACAAACCTTATGCAGATAAATAACAAAACCTAGCTGAAACCAACAAAAAATAAACTGAACTTGGCAATCCTTAGTCTGAAATCAACAAAAAATTAGTTGTAATCAACGAATCTTGGGCCAAAATCACAAAACCCTAAAAGTGGCCATAGCAGTATAGGAAAAATCGAACCAGAACGGTTAACCGAACATGAGGCCAGATGCGGTTACTCGATACTAACAAGTAAACCGGCCAGTTCAACCATCCTAGCCGGACAAGCCTTGGGCGGTCAAAAAGTTTAAAAAATAAAAAAATACAAAAAAAAATCTAATAAAATATGAAAAGTATATTTAAAGCATGATTAAACAAAGCAAATCCAAATGAAGTTGAAAATTAATGAAAAAAATAGATTTTAAGGAATCGATTTGTGCCCAGGGGTATTTTTGAAATTTCCAAAAAAGATGGATAAATACAAAAATAAGTATTAATGGCCAAAAACATCTTCCAAACTTTGCCAAAATGATGAAAAACATTAAAAAAATGCATTACAAACAAAATCCCTTATTTTTTGGGATTTTATATAAATTCTTTTAAAATACTTGGCCGATTCACCGAAACCGGCTGAACTTGAACCGCCTGATTTTTCCTACACTGGGCCATACTTCCCTGGCCTTGTTGTTGAAGAAACCTGAACTCTAATACCAAAATGATGTGGGAAAATTAATAGTGAACAGTAAAATCCGAAAACTTCAGGCCAAGCACAAGCAAAAAATAGAAGCAGCCTAGGGTTTCTTCTTCAAGCCCAACTACGGCTTCAAAAGCCTAAGCTTTTCTCCCTCTTTTTTCATTCTGAAAATCATGTGGATTGGCCTCTCTAAGCCCCAAACACCTCTTAAATAATAATATTTAATGTTCAAGAACATTAAATGTTTCTATAATAAATAAAATGACCCCAAAAGTCCTCACGTAAGTAACTTCAAAACTAAATAACCCTAACTATAAATAAAATGCCTAGAATCCCCGCTGGGGGGAGGTGGAGGGAGAGAGAGAGAGGAAGAGAGTCACTTCAAACAAGGACAACTAGCACCAAGTAGCAAAAATGTTAATTAAAAAGTTTCGATATACCAGAAAATGTAGACTGCCCACCACAAAGAAGGAAAGAGAAAACTGTGACAAGCCCAAGAGTGGACCGTCTTTCCCTCTAAAACCAGATAAATTTAGAAGCATCCATTTGAATAACACTCACTGATTGTTGTAACCTTGATGTTGAGGATGCGAATTCAACTTACCAAACTCCTTTCCAAATAATAATTAACCCAAAAAAAAAAAAGGCTTCTCTATATTAAGATCAATAGCATCCAAAGAACCTCCTTGATTACGCTAAAACCCACTTTTATTAGCATCCCTTGAATGAAAAGGCTCATTCTCCATGTTAATAAGGTAAATTAATACCGGGCAAAATGATCAAGAGAAAGAAACCCAAGTAGACTTTTGCAGACCAAGAAAAAAGTCGAATAAACATACCTGCATGTGATATTTGCTATTGCAGAATCAGCTGTTGTCTGGCGCTCGGCAGCGATTTTGCTTGCAACTAGATCAGGCCAAGAGGTACCACTCGCTAATGCTGTGAATGCTAAGACATATGCATTTATTCCTGCCCAAACAAACTTCAATTATATTAACTCCCAGTTCTTGAGCAATATACAAAAGTTTGTTTGAACTCTATTTTCAAGATATGAATGTAAGTAGAAGAAAGGCAACACAACCAAAATTCATATATTTGGCTGGATTTTCTTTTATCAACAACCATGTGAGTGAGATTAAGAGTCCAAGACACACACCTAGAATATAGAATGCAAATGACTGTTTTCAAAACCAAAAAACTGGCCTGCTTTCATTTTGGCATCAAGGTTCCTCATAAACAGAATTTACAAGCTCATGAGCTTTGGCTTCATTTTGGAAGATTTAGGCCAAACAATACTTGTTCCAGTTTTGAGCAAAATTCAAAAACAGTTATCTATATTCCCAAGCTTTAAGAATAGGAGAAGGGTACTATATATAGCCCAATAGACTTCTGAAATTACTGTCTATTAGGGCGATCACTGTCCAAAAATGATGAATGATGATGGAAAGTAGGACCCACCAGTATAGGACATGAACCAAATGGGTGGGTACCACTCGTCCTTCATCACCATCTATCATTTCATGGGAAAGAGATGATCCTAATTGACTTTGTTTTTCATTAGTTCACAGGATGTGTATCATACTTTCTCTGAAACAAAAACATTCATTCATAGAATAGGTGTCGAGATATGGATGTTAACCATTATACCCATTTCAGTTTCAACCCATTTAACTAAAATTTTAGCAACAATACCAAGGTTTTAGAAGAAAAAATGGGCAGCAAAAGATAGAGCTACCATTTTTCTCTAATAAGTTTCATTAATATAATTGTCAGAAAGAATAAAGTAAAGAAGAAAAGTTTGATAGACTATGTTAAGAGGCACCTGTGACACAGCTTAAGATCTGTGAGCTTGGTAACAACATAAGCAATTCCACTTATAAAGAATAGTGAACAGATGAAAGAAACCCATCCATGTGCTATCTGACAGGGAGGCACAAAAGCAAATAGAAATCTCCATGGAGCAATAATCAAATGGAACGAAATTCTCGCTATCCTTAGGCATGCACTGTCCATTTTTCTTGATTCAGCAGTCTCCAACTGTCAAGAGATCAAAATAAAAAATAAAAGAAAACGAGATGATTAATTTAGCGCATAAACTGGCTATAAGGTTTACGATTACTGATTTCTAGACAAAAATATGTTGCACAGTTCTTTTTCTTTGAAGAGCGTGTTTGATCTAAAAAACAAGTGTTGATCTTCAAACAGATAAGCGTGTTCTGTGCATGAAAAGTAAGCATTGGAACTCCTTATTTGGACATGCTAAATAGCGATATATTCCACAAACTAAGGTCTGGGAACCAGGGAGACATTATTAGGGATATCTTAACCCAGAATTGTAAGTTAAAACACAATAAACTGATAAAGATGATGATGAAGAAAAGGGACGGTAGATAGTTATTCTATTCAGTTTGTTTCCGTCCTTTATTGACTTCCTCATCCGAGATGTCTGATAAATAATTAAGAAATGTTTCTTAATCCTGTATTTCTTTTGGAACTGTATTGTGCATAAGAACTACCACACTAGAAGCATTCCTGACAATATTGAGAAAAAATTAAAAGAAAAAATGAAATAAAAAGGGTTTATTTCTGGTCAGCAGGTGCAAAATAAAAACCTGATACTAGGGTCTGTTTATAGAAGATAGTAAAATGAGAATCTATTTAACATAAAAGCCCAATGCACTTATCGAGAAAACACACAGACACAGACACAGACACATATATATATGTGCATTTGTGTGTGTGTGAGTTGGAAGTTAAATGAAATACCGTGAGGGCATCAAGAAATTGTTTGCTCCAAATTGAAAGCAAACACTGATTATCTACAGCTTTTTGTTCAAAAACTTTGTTGGATGACTCTCCCATATCT